ATGTAATCAAAAATTCTTTAGCATAAAAAGTGATGTGTCCTAATACATAATAGAGATTGATTGATTGTGTAAAATTAATTTACGTTGTCGGTTGTATCACCCATTTTTATCATAAAAATATATTTAATGTTCAAGATAATAACGATTTTCATATATTATTAAAATTTATATTTAATTCTTATATATATATATATATATATATATATATATATATATAATATATATATATATATAATATATATATATATATATATATATATATATATATATATATATATATATATATATATATAATTCAACAAAATTTTTGTTAAAAACCTAACAAATCGAACCAATTCAATCTGCATTGATTTAGTTTAGTTTGATTCAGTTTTCATTTTTAAAAGTCGATTGAATCAAATCAACTGTACGATTTATCTTGCGGTTCAGATGAATTTTTACTGTTCAAATTGTATAGCGAACACCCTTAAATATGACAATACAATTTCATTTTTTATTATTTATTAATTAAAACACTTTATTATTAACATTCCATTTATCAGATAATTTTTTTATTGATTCAAAAGAAAAACATTACATTGATCATTTAATGAACTATTTTCTTTTACCAAATGATATTAATTTTTCTTATAATAACTTTGCATTTTATTCTTACCATATAATATGATTTTCTCTTATAATAGATAAACTTTACATAAATAAAAGATACAAAATTATATTATATTTAATTAAATTAAATTTTATTTAAAATATTAATACATAGTTTATTTTTTTGTTTTTAATAATATTTAAAATTGGAATAGAACCTCTCCATAATATTCGAGACTGCCGAACAGCCTGTCATGTAATCAAAAATTCTTTAGCATAAAAAGTGATGTGTCCTGATACATAGTCGCGATTGATTGATTGTGTAAAATTAATTTACGTTGTCGGTGCATCATCCGTTTTATCATAAAAATATATTTAATGTTCAAGATAATAACCATTTTCATATATTATTAAAAGTTATATTTTTTTCTTATATATATATATATGATTCAACAAACTTTTTGTTAAAAACCTAACAAACTGAACCAATTCAATCTGTATTGATTTAGTTTAGTTTGGTTCAATTTCATTTTTAAAAGTTAATTGAATCAATTCAGCTGCATGTTTTATCTTGCGGTTCAGATAATTTTTAATATTAAAACTGCTCAAACTGTACCGCAAACACCCTTAAATATGATAATATAATTTTATTATTTTATTATTTATTAATTAAAACACTTTATTATTAACATTCCATTTATGAGATAATTTTTTTATTGATTCAAAAGAAAAACATTGCATTGATCATTTAATGAACTATTTTCTTTTACCAAATGATATTAATTTTTCTTATAATAACTTTGCATTTTTTTTTCTTACCAAATAATATGAATTTCTCTTATAATAGATAAACTTCACATAAAGAAAAGATACAAAAATTATATTTAATTAAATTAAATTTTATTTAAAATATTAATACATAATTTATTTTTTTGTTTTTAATAATATTTAAAATTGAAATAGAACCTCCATAATATTCGAGACTGCCCAACAGCTTTTCATGTAATCAAAAATTCTTTAGCATAAAAAGTGACGTGTCCTAGTACATAATCGCAATTAGTTGATTGTGTAAAATTAATTTACTTTGTCGGTGCATCACCTGTTTTATCATAAAAATATATTTAATGTTCAAGATAATAACCATTTTCATATATTATTAAAATTTATATTTAATTCTTATATATATATATATATATATATATATATATATATATATATATATATATATATATATATATATATATATATATATATATATATATATATATATATATATATATATATATATATATATATATATATATATATATATATATATATTTCTATTTTATTTATAAAATAATAAAATGATATGACTTACATGTTGAACATTAATACATAGATAAAGAAATTATTATTTAACTTGGGCTTATGGCCTATATAAACACACTCCTAAACAACATGGTAACTCAAAAACCAAAACCCTCAAAAAGAATACATTTCAATAAAATGATGGAGGCAGCAAGAAAATATTCTCTAACAGTTGCATTTTTGTTGGCCTTTTTGATCATTGCAACAGGTATGAAAGTAATTAGTAATTTGATAGTTTTTTTTTATGAAATTTATTTTATCTTTCATATACAATAGTATTCTTAATTTCATGTATTATTTGTGTACGTAGATATGGCTACAGAATCACAAGAAAGAGGAGTGAGTGAGAATACTCAACAAGCCTGTGTCAATGGTTCTGATTGTTTAAGTAAACACTTTCCTTGCCCACCCTACATGGTTCCTTTCTGTGTTGATGGTTCGTGTAAATGTTTTCATGAGTAAACTGTACAATTAACAATTGTAAAATAATCGTCATGTGTAGACGAGAATATAATAAATTAAATGAATTTCAACGTATGAAATAATATGGTTCTAAATTGAAATGATTACAATGTCTAATATATTGAAAAATCAATATTTATATACAGATTTATTTTGGTTTTAGATTATATTGCTTTCAAAATAAAATGAAATAAAATAAAAAGTTTATACTGTGGTTTTTTTAAATTTATAAATAATTTATATTGTGGTTTAAAAACTGATATAATGTTGTATAAAATTTTGGACCGCCTACTTTAGATTTTTTTTTTGGAATAATCTGATATTTAAAAAAAAAATTGCAAATAATCATGTTTCGGAGAAAATTACACAAATAATCATGTTTCAGAAAATCCCACAAGGGAGGAGTCAACCTATTTGGCGCATCCACTCCCCATTTTGCCCTAGGCGCCATCCCACTTGGCGCCTCCTCTCCCTTTTAGCCAAGTGAGATGGCGCATGCACTTTAAAAGTGAGAGGAGGCGACATCTCACTTGGCTCCTAGGGCAAAATGTTATTTTTATAAATAATTCGTCCGTTTCTCCGTCATTCCTCACACTTTCTGGCACTGCTCTCTTATTTTTTACTCTGTTATTTGTGTCATGACATCGCCCATGATTTTTACCAGAGATGGTTACGTTATTTTCTCTGCCATAAAACCTCCGATGAAAATGAAATTCTGGCACATTCACTCCATGGAGCGTCTGAAGAGGGAGTTGATGCGATGGCTAGAGGGAGACATCAAGGAGGGGGAACAAATTAGAAGGATCCAGCGAAGACGCACAACAACCTCACTTGCGACAGGAAGACCTAATTTTTGGTTGGAGGAAGTCAAAACAGACAGTGACGTAATGTTGATGATGCATGGGTCAATGAAATTATTTTAACGATTGTAATTTCGTAGACGATTTATCGTGTTTTATTTCTTGTTCGCGCAATGTTTATTGTAACAAATACTGTTAACGAAAAACCCTAATGTTTTACAACTTAATAAAGGAAATATTTTTTATAATACAATTTTTATGTGGTTGACCCAATAGCCCGATACAGACAATTTTAACGTTTGTGTCTGACCTGACGATATAAGCCATACTTTCTTTCCAACTTGTCAAGAGAGTCTATTTCTGTTGTGATGCGCTTACTTTTGGGATGACCCTTTTTATTCCTTCGCATTTGGTCATTGTGCCATACTATTTCACCGTCGTATGCAAGCCAATAATCAAGTTTTGCTACCAAAGGGAAGCTTTTGTTGTATACGTTGAGCAAGGTTTCGGATTTTTAAATGGGAGACAGAAGTTGTAGCGCGTCTTGATGAGTATAGGCACACGCGACAATGACATGAGAGAAAGGCATACAAAAGGCTTAAAACTTGCCACAATCGCACCAATGAGAAGGTAGTATAACCCTATACTCTTGTTTTGGCAGACCCTCGTTGTGGTCGATTGTCTCTTTGAAAATAAAGTTGTGGATGTGTCGGTCAAACCGTATAACCATATGGGTGTTGGCTTTGGCACTTTCTGCCTTAATGTACTTCATGCAGCTTTCACTCCATAGTTGTCCAGATTGCAACACAGCATTCCATATTTCACCTCTTTTGGCAAACAACGAAGCCATCCTAAAATATGTTGATTTAACCAAAGCAGTGACTGGGAGGTTTGTATGTCTTTGAATACCCCATTCATTGATTTAATTAGATTTTTTGTCATGTGGCCCCATCTTTGTCCACTGTCGTATGACCTAGTCCATTTTTTTACCGGAATATTATCGATCCACCTACCAGCGACCGGATTTGACAAATGGATCTCGTTGCGATAATATTTGAATGCAGGTTGTGTTAATGCATATCCCACATTCATAACCGCTTTCCTAAGAGCTTTGTCTTTGATCTCCCTCGTGAAATTTTGGACGATATGTCTAATGCAATAGACATGCGTAGAAGGAGGGTCATGCCAACCGTTTGCAGGATTGTTGTATGCACTTTCAATTGATGCATGTCTATCAGAGATCAAACAGAGATCAGGTTGAGGAGCCACTGTTGCACCCCAAAATTTGCCCTCCTAATTTCTTTTATTCTTGGCTTATACTTTTGCATTCATCTGCATCTATTTCATTAGGTCACCAACATGGCATACCTGGTTGATGGGCTTACAAGCTCTTATGAGACCTTGAGATGCATAATCATAGGCCAATTTCAAAGATATGTGGATAAGATCTGTTGACTTCGGTTAAAGTAAGCTTTGAAAAATTAACCTTGGGACCAAGGTCTCCCTTGAATTTTCATCTAATATGTGTTGGGAATTCGAGTTGCATTTGAAGAATGGTATGGTAAAGGAAAAGAAATATTGGTTCAGAAAAGAAAAAGTTCATTAAAAATCAGGGTTTCTATTCATTGATAAATTTTCAAGATTGAAGTTAGGAGTTCATTGAGAATGCAAGTGTGATTTGGATTTGAAGTTTGATTTGAGTTCAAGATTTTGATTGGATTAAAGTTGGCAAAGAGTCTTAAGCATTGTTCACATGGCTTTCTTGGAAGGTAAAGTACAGACTGCGAGGTTTTGTTTCAAGTCAGAGTTCATACGCATTACAAAGATGTTCACCGTTATTCCAGATTCAAGTTCACATGTGTTCAAAGTTTATTCGAACCCTTTCGTTCATGATTCAAAAAAATACTATCCGATTCCATTCAATTTCATTCAAGTGTAACAATACCTTACAAGAAAATTTGATGCTTTCATGTCTGCAAGCATTTTTTCAAGACTTTGTCATTTAAACCCCGTCCTTAAAATTCATCACCCAACATTTCAAGCTCAAAGGTCATTTATTATTCACACTATAAATTTCAAGTTCATCCAAACCAAACATTCATTATAAAATCATTACAATCCCATTACACCAATATTCTACAAAGAAAAAAAAACTATTACAAAATACACTTGAACAAAATTCTTTAGTCCTAAAGGTGCTAAAATTCCATGAGTAAACTTCTAATTCCATGCCATGCCAAAGTTCTTCATCTTCAGTTCATGACCTGCACATTCATACAAAAAAAATCCAAGTCAATACAAGCAATCATGCCAAAATATCCTATGCTCATACAAATTATTCGACACATGAAAAACCATTAATTAACCCAAACCAAATGCTAAACACATATATGGAACAACCTGCATACCTTAACTTTGGCAGAGAATAGGTCCACATCATTCAAACTAACTGCAATTGGAAGGAAAATCAAATTCAGCTTCGGAACAATGTCCAACAATAATCATAATCACACATTTCCAATTGCAGCTACTTTTGTTCATGCTCTTGTTGCTAAATCTATGTCAAGAAACTTCAGGGCTAATACAGTTTGAAGCCTCGTTAAAATGGAAACAAAGTCTCCCTCGACAACCAATTCTTGATTCATGGATCATTAACAATTCAAGTTCAACTTCAACACGATTACCATGTTCATGGAGAGGTATCACTTGTGATTCCAAAGGAACTGTCACAATTCTAAACTTGGCATATACTGGACTTCAAGGTATTGTGTCGGCGGAGGAACAAAAGAGACTGAAGGAAGATGGAGAAAATTTAACTACAAAAGCGCAGGCAACAACATCTTGACTTCCTGCTCTCGAATTTGAGGTGACAAGCAGCAACTCTGGGCTGCTGCCACACAGGTTTTGGGGTTGCTGATTGAGTTCCTTCCTGAGTGGTCTGATTCTTCTCCTTTTCTCACAACATGGCGGCTATCTCACTAGAACAGATCAAGAATGAGTCTGTTGATTTGGAAAAAATCCCAATTGAGGAAGTGTTTGCGCAATTGAAATATACCCGAGAAGGTTTGTCCTCTACAGAAGGAGAAAGCAGGATTCAAATATTTGGTCCTAACAAGCTTGAAGAGAAAAAGGAGAGCAAATTTCTCAAGTTTCTTGGGTTTATGTGGAACCCCTTATCATGGGTGATGGAAGCTGCAGCTGTAATGGCGATTGCTCTTGCAAATGGTGGAGGGCAGCCTCCGGATTGGCAAGATTTTGTGGGAATTGTGTGCTTGTTGGTTATCAATTCAACTATCAGTTTCATTGAAGAAAACAATGCTGGAAATGCTGCTGCTGCTCTTATGGCAGGTCTTGCTCCTAAGACGAAGGTTCTTAGAGATGGTAAATGGAGTGAGCAAGAAGCTGCAATTCTCGTTCCAGGAGACATCATTAGTATCAAGCTTGGTGACATCATACCAGCCGATGCTCGTCTTCTAGAAGGTGATCCTTTAAAGGTTGACCAAGCAGCATTAACAGGAGAATCACTTCCGGTTACTAGACATCCAGGACAAGAAGTTTTCTCAGGCTCAACATGCAAACAAGGAGAAATTGAAGCTGTTGTTATTGCAACCGGTGTCCACACATTCTTCGGAAAAGCAGCACATTTGGTTGACAATACAAACAATGTTGGGCATTTCCAAATGGTTCTCAAATCAATTGGAAACTTTTGTATCTGTTCCATTGCAGTTGGTATGTTGGCTGAGATTATAGTCATGTATCCAATTCAACATCGCAAATATCGCGATGGTATTGAAAACCTATTAGTCCTTTTGATCGGTGGAATTCCTGTTGCTATGCCAACTGTTTTGTCTGTGACAATGGCTATTGGTTCTCATAAGCTTTCTCAGCAAGGTGCTATTACAAAAAATGACGGCCGTTGAGGAAATGGCTGGTATGGACGTTCTTTGCAGTGACAAGACAGGAACACTTACGCTTAACAAATTGAGTGTTGATAGGAACTTGATTGAAGTTTTTATTAAGGGTATGGATAAGGAACATGTGATTCTTCTTGCTGCTAGGGCTGCTAGGACTGAAAATCAGGATGCTATTGATGCTGCTATTGTTGGAATGCTTGCTGACCCTAAAGAGGCGAGGGCCGGGATAACAGAGGTGTATTTCTTGCCATTCAATCCAAATGATAAGAGAACTGCTTTGACATAC